TGTGGAAGCATTCCAGCTTTTAAAATGACGGGAGACAAACAGTGCATCTATATTAATTTGATTTTTTTATATACGGACATTGAGAAAGAAGTAACAAAAAACAACTAAAGATAGCAATCACATTTATTCAATTCATTCTCTAATTACATCAAACAATTATAACGTAAATAATGCCTATATAAGGGACTGCATTGAACGTTTTAATATGACAGCCGCGGAAATGCTTCCGGGATGTTAATACCATTTGATGTAGTTCTGAACTAATAATTTGTGTGCAAATTTCCAGATAATTCCTTTCCCCCTGATGGTCATAAACAGGTTTTCTGATTTCCAAAGCAAATAGTCTAAAAGGTTCAGTGAAAAAGATACTGAACTACGAAAGTTTAACCAAAGTTCTGATGATGTTAAAATCAATGATTTTTTTGTGGCGTGACTGAGAAATGTTGAACGTTTTTAAAAGTCATCAATAGATATATGGATCTTAGTAAACTTACGCCATATAACAGAATTCCTCTCCATGGCTTTCTAATCCCTAGAAATATAGAATAAATATTTTTACAAATAATTCTTAAAAATTAAATTAGGTAATAAAGTTTTCCTGTTAAACTTATAAACTCGTATTTCCTAATAAAAGCCATTTATTTATGTATCTGTTTTCTCGTTTAGATACGCCATTTACATTGGGCCATACACCGCTTTTCATGTAATGACAAAAGGTCTTAAAGGTTCTTTGATCACCGCCGTCATATGAACACATTTGAAGATGTTTGGTCCTACATTTGAAATTTAAAAAAAATGGTTTTCACAGATAACGTAGGACTATGTTTTTTACATCAGGCGAGTTGGGCAAACCTGTGAAAAGATGCGGGAATTTAAAAGGTAAAACAACAGCTTCCTTCATAGTTTCTTTAGCTTCGTCAAGCCCAGCAACATCTTCCCATCTTATGTTTGGTTTCTCCATAACAATTGCACCTGAAAACCGAACAACATTTGAAAAGCTATATGCATAAAATTTGTTTTTCGATAAAAGGCATTATTTTGCACATCGTTTGTAGCACATTATGTTACAAATGAAACCATTATTGGACTCAATTTTATAAATTTAGCCTCATTTCCATCCATTTCAAGAGTCCAGAAATCCGTACAAAATACATACCGTATCGTACAAAGCTTCATTTCTATTTCAAAGTCCAAAATATCAATATCAAATTCATGAAGTACTTAATCTACCCTCGTTTTCAATTAAAAAGTCCAAACATTCATATTAAATCTTGAACAAAATGTCCACAAATAGTGGTGTGAAAGAAAAAGATCAATTAAACTCGGCTTTGGTCTCTTCTAGTATAGATTTGACAGCTTTGTATTTCAAATAGAATTCAGTATTTTACTCAATAATGTTTAATAATCACATATTATTCAACAACTTTGTATTACGTATCAGGTATCCAATTGTAATGTTAAATATTACAAGAACAACAAAGCAATATCAAAACAATTAAATATACTAAGCGACAAATCTTTCAACGCAAATAATTGACCATCTAGCTCTTTTCTTTCTACGAGCATAGCAAGTTAGCATTACCTGATAAGTCCCCTTCTAATGTGTTTGATTCTGAACTCATTGTCATCATCTGCACTGTCGTCAGAAAATTCTCTAAATAAATATAACAGATTATGACTAAAAAAATATGAACATCAAATATTGCCACTAAACTATAAATCGATCTTTAACATGACATGCGTAATGATAAAACATTAAGCGAAATAATGTCATATCTATAGAAAAAGATTAATATAACAATTTATTATATCAATCTTAGATTTAACTATTCATTTAAATATTAAGTCATTTAAATATCAAAATGCAAAAATTGATTTTCAACAGTAGGAAACCTGATCAGGATGCACGAATATACCTGGTCAGGCTTTATAGTAATGACAAAGGCAAATCATTTTCAGTTCCAGCAGGTTTTAATATCTTCTTTGAATTACCGCCTTTGTACAGGTTCGGGGCCTTTTTCAGCTTTTCAGCTCAATGAAACATCTTTGGCTAACTCTAAATGGTTACTCTCTTTTTTATTTTTTATTTATGTTCTATCTAATAAAATAGTTCACAAATAAGTTTTTTTAGCTAAGCTGAATTAGGAAGGCACTGTACTTTGGAAATTATATAAAATTACATTATTCTTAAATATTTTCCTTGTAATAATCTTATTTCTCAATTACGATACAATGTAAACGTTAACAGTTCATTCATATCAAGTTTGACAATTTTTTTTTTCAGATGAATGTGAAACACTGGAAATGATGGTTTATACAAATAGTAATGTAATTACTTTTTAGAAATACATGCATATCGACACCGGGATGAGAAAAAATACCATTCACTACTTTTTAAATCGACATGTTGAATTATTTAAGATATTCAATTCTATTGTTCTTGATATAAATAAAAAGCTTCTGACATGTGCTTATCGTTACTGTTTCATATTTGAGCCGCGCCTTGACAAAACCAACATAATGGGTTTGCGATCAGCATGGATCCAGACCAGCCTGCGCATCCGCGCAGTCTGATCAGGATCCATGCTGTTCGCTTACCAACTCTATTACAAGTGGAGAACTGACAGTGAACAACATGGATCCTGACAAGACTGCGCGGATGCACAGGCTGGTCTGGATCCGTGCTGGTCGCAAACCCATTATGTTGGTTTTGTCGTGACGCGGCTCATTTATTTTTAACAAAACAAGTTCATTTTAACGTCATTTACAATATTAACGTCTTTTGATGTCATTTATAAAATGACGTTAAATGCTGTTTTCTCATTCAGACTTCCAATTATCATATACGTGTATTTCCAAAAAAAAATTATGTACTTTGTCTTCAAAAACAACATAGGAAATTTGCATGGGTACAAAATGATTATCCGAAAAGGAAATAGTGATAAAAATATAATATTATTCTTTCGTTGTGACTTAAAATATTAAAAACTCCTTGTTAGGTCATCTGTCGAGGCAAATATGAAATATGAACATAATGCTACTCACATTTGCATGCATGAAGGTAATTCTGGACTACAGTCTAAGCTTCATCATATACTTCTTCTTATATCATTCTGTCGCATTATCAATTGGTTCTTTTGCTCTAAATAATTAGGTGATTGGTGGAAATTTAATAACATCAAAAGCAAGTTTCACACAATAGTCCAATATCCAAATAAATAATTTGTATTTATATTCCTCGGCTCACAGGATAACTTTTTACATTTGTATTTTGTTTACATGTCTAATCTTTATTACTGGTAATGTAAAATCGATTTCCAATTTATACCACTTCGATAAAATTAAAAATTAAAACTATCACAAAAGCATAAATGTATATAGTCTGTACTTTTGCCCAGCGTGTTTTTTCCACACATTAAAAAGCATTCTCTATTCCTTTTCTACTCAGTAGTAGCAGTTATTTACTCTCACATATATCTAGTTGTTTTTCCCTATTGTAACTAAGGTTTATTTTTGTAACGTTTCTAAATTAAGCCGATCATTTTAATAATACGATTTCAAACTGTTTCGTTAAAATTAAAATCATTCTAATTTTCATTTTTTTTTCCTCTCAATTTTCAATTACTGTTTGAAGCCGTATCCCGGCATTATTTTGTTTTTCTTTTACACGAGGTCACATGTCGATGCATTCACCTATCAATCGATTATTTATACAAACTAATACAAAGCTTTGATCATATGACTATATAGCAAAATCTATAAATAAATTGTTGTGTAAACATTTGTACTGATATCACTGTTCTAAATATAACAATTACGTGTATCTAAAATAGTTTAAGCACTTATTAAGAGTCATGTGATAGCCATTAAAGGTACATTATGCTTCAGAAATGCTTCTGTTTTCATTTCTCAAAAACTCTTTATTTTTGGTGAACTTTTAATGGTTTAGAAAGTTATTCGTCGCCAAACTACCTAAATGTCCGTTTCCCTCTAATTAGTACATTTATAGCAATTCAGTATTTTGTATGGAAGTCAGTGTTGTTTTTTTTACATTTTGGTATTTTTATACCAAATCATTTCACTTTCAAGGCTACTTTCTTCGGGTGATGACATTCTTTTAAACCATCATTTTAAACGTTATAAAGGTCAGTTTGCCCTTTAAAACAAGTAATTAAGTTGTTTGTTACTGAGCCGTAATGCACCTTAAGCTGCATTATATAAATATGTACAAACATTTTCTGCCTAAACACAGTCTGCCTTTTTTTACCAATATTGTTGCAAATATAATCAAATATTGTACAGAAACAATAGTTAATAAAAGGAAAATCAACACTAAAATTCGTATACGAATTTTAGCATTCAAGTGAAGACTTTTATTGATTAGTGTATATAGTACGCCACAGAGTTAGATTAAAAAATCATTTGTTGTAAGATTGTTCCATCTAATCCGGTTGTGCAAATAAACATTTAGTCTAGTCACCATCGTACTGCCGAACTGCCGTTATCGTACTGTTATGTTTCATAATGTTCCTCCTCAGAGAAAACACATTGGCCATAACGAAATACCGTACTGTTCTTAAAATACTTATGATCATCCTAAAAGTGCATAATACCAGATCTTAGTTTGCTCTAGAAGTATTCCGTCTTCTTTGGCAGCAATTTGGCAGATTACCCAAGCCTATATATGGGCTCTCTGTAAACACAGGGGGTAGATGTATAAATTGGGAACCTAGTTAGAATGACAAAAAGTCACTTTAAGGCAATGTTTTCTAACAAGTCTGAGGTTTAAATGCGAAAATGCAGCAAATTATCAAATTAAGGTTGTTCATCGTGCATATAAGCATAAAGTGGTGTCATCTTCTGAAGATAAAAAACAGCATAAAAGAATTAAGGCAGCTCAGGCCATTTCAAATTACGTGTGGAAGACAGATTGTCACAATGAAGCAATGTACCAAAAATCTAGTAAAGACGATTAGTTCTGAAGAAATACAACAATAAAGTATATATTCAAATTTTTTATATTTGAAGCACTTTGTGAATTCTATTTATATAAATACAAACAAATCGAAATGAATGAAATAACTGCATAAAAGTACATTGAAGGACAATCAGAATGCTGAAGAACCTGACATGCTTACAAACAAAACTTTTACAAAAAAGTATCAGAAATGACCATATCACATGAAATAGTTCTGGGCTGTGAATAGTGTCCTCCAATAATAATTATGAAAAAATGTTCTAAATTTCAACTGATTATCATTAGTAGTTTAAACTTTAATGAGGATAACTACAAACCGTTATCATGTTTATTTTTTATTGACATCTTACCATATGTCAGTTGACAGTAGCCGAAATCCTTTTCATTGTTCAAAAATCACAACAAATAGACAGTTTTACGCCCATTGTTCTATCTAAAACAATCTTACTTCTTTTACAGATATCTGCATTTACAAATGTTTACAGTTCTTGTGCAAATAAAGTGTCTGACTTGTTAAAGAAAATAGTGGTCAGTGTCTTTTCATCGTAAAATTTACCACCCCTTACTGTAATGCCTAATTATGTAAATTATGTAATACAAGGACAAAAATGATTGAGCACATTAATCATTTACTCAAAACGTTATGACTGTGTTGTTAAACGGTGGCCCAACTATTAAAAAGAAACACCGTCAGCAACAAGGGTCTTGACCTGGTGGAACTCTTAATGATAATATTCTTTGCACGCACTACAGAGCTTGGTCAAACTGACCTTCTCTTGGTATCTCATTTATGTATTTTCATATTGAAATGCTTTAGAATTTGTGTGGGCTGGTCCAAATTCAAAGAATTGGGCGAATCCAAGAACAAATACCCAGTTAAGTTTATGCACATGATGTATTATTTCATTTCTATGTTACAGGATGTCAAATTCTACCAACTAGCTTCAATTCTACAACAGGAAAAAAACAAGCTAAAGTGTCACCCAAGGTATTCAATCAACAGTGGAAGTAAAAAAAAACTCGCACAATGTAATCAAATTCCTTATAACACTTACAAAGATGTTTATTAGAACTACAGAACAACAAACAAAATAATTTGACTGGTAGAACAATAAACTTTTAAAACGATTGTATAAAATTTACCGCATTCATTGAATTGAACATTTATTCGAACTAACATATTTTTTTCAAATGATAACGTACAGCACTTTCTTATACAAAGATTGTATTTCTACCATAAATTGTCAGCATCTATTGTAATTATTGCATACTGGAACGTGGAACGCCTAGTTTATCATTTGTTTATTGTAAATAAGTAAACATCAGATAAAATTGTCCCTCTTCAAAATCATAATTTACATCACTATATAACATGAAAATGAACAAAATGAACATTTCCTGCCGCTGCTAGCCTTCTTGGCCAAAATCTTTTGTGAATTCTTCGTGTTTTTTCAATTCATCATCATTAACAGTTGCCTTCTGTGTCTGTAGTGACATTAACATATCACTCTGAAATCAAATACATTGTATGTAAAATAATTATAGTATTAGAATAAGAACAAAGTATAATATCATTCACATGCAAAATGTGCATTTTCATAAAACCATGTATGCTTACAGTATACGTTGTAAATATTTTTATACACAACTGACTATTCTTATTCTTAAAACAAATACATTTTCCTTATATAGTTATTATATTGATTAAACATTGTAATTACACTAGTTCAACATATTAAAGTAATTTAATAAAACCAACTTTTACAATAACTTTACAAAATATTATGTAAGGAAAACTATCTTCAGAAATAAAATAGAAAACTATTGCAAAAGGTAAAAATCAACTTTACCATGCTAACAACAGGTTCGAGCAGTTTATGGCCATCCACTTGTGTCCAGTTCATTTCCATTGCACCAGGGGCCCCAGGTGAACACGGGGTCAAAAGGTCATCAACCATTTCATCTGGATTGTCTCTGGACGGACCTCGTACCTTTAACAAATTATATCGCAATTACAACTATTTGCTAATTATTACTATTCAATTTTCAACATTTACACAGATTAAAAGGGTACTTTTCTAAATAAAACGAAGAACTTTCAAACAACATTTATATAAAAGATGAAAAGTTCCTTTGGATAACTTTCAGCAACTCTCCCTTCAGACTGTGCACATACTAGATATTAGAATTTTGACATTACATCATAACAGCAATTATTCGTAAGCTTCACCACATGTACTTATTCAATACTTCTACTTGGTTTATGTGCACAATTGTTATTGCTGGATAGTTACTAATATTGTGTTTGACGAATTATCGGACTTTATCTGAATTGGGATATAAAAAAGGCAATTAGAAAATAAACAATAGGCAAAATCAATACATATATTGATAGAAAAGTTATAAAATAAGAATATACCTTTCTGAAGTGTGTAGCAGTTTGTACTTTATGTAAAGACTGCATAAGGGCATCTCTCACAACAATACTAACATCTGCACCAGTATATCCCTCAGCCTTCAATCCCAGCTGTCTGTTCAAATTAAAGTCAGTCAGAATATAATAAACACATACTTTTCATCAATTAAACGTTTCCTTTAAGATGATATATTTTGATAGGCATTGTTAACGAAACAGTAATATTGCTTCAACAGTCTTAGAAAATCAAATCTTAAACATTCGAACGCAAAAAGTATCAAAAAGGCGATCTGTCATATTTATTTTCATATATTTATCGAAAAGCTGTTAGAAACATCTAGAAAATATCATTATTGTGATTTTATATTTATTCTGATTTATATCTTTTTCCAACACTTCTTGCCATCGCGCAATCGAACAGATCTCTACCTATAACGGAAGCTCTTCTGAAGTATCAATCGAACATGCTAATGAAAATTCTGCCTACAGTTAATTTCAGCGGAAGTCAAGGTGAATATCAGACGGCCTTCGGCCGAATAATGATAAATTTTAAAACTTGCATATGGCCTGTTTCTTAATTCATTCTTAGCAAATAACCGTACAAAATTATATTTCTAAAGTTTGTGCGATACATATAGTGAAAAGGAACTTACTTAAAATCTTCATCAGTGAGAGAGTTTGGTGTAGAGCGAAGATTAAGTTTAAACATGAGTGACCTTGCGGGTGCCTCAGGCATAGGGATGTATATACGTTTCTCAAACCTTCTAAGAATAGCAGAATCTAAACTCCATGGCATATTTGTTGCACCTATGACTAATAAACCTACAATTTTTACAACACTTAAGTCAAAACAGCAGTCAAAAAAAAAAAGAAATAAAGCAAACACGTTCCTAATTATTTTTTGTCAAGTTGAAAGACGGTAGCATGTTACTTCGCGATCAATGAATCCAATAATTTAAATATTCTGGATTAAATACTGCTTAAACTCATTACAGACTCAATAAAATACCTCTGCCAACTACTTTTAGGATTTTTAGAGTATATGAATAACTACCCTGTTATACTAGTATGTCTCAGAATCTTGCATATAGAAAGGTCATCTAACAGGAAATATCAGTAACTACACTGTAATATGCAATACTTTCAATTTTTCACCATTTAAATACTATACAGATTGCATTAGAAAAGCTATCCCGCTTGAAATGAACTGATATGTAACAAGATTGATACTGCCATGTAATGATCATCAGGGAACCATATGATTAAACTTATATCTTTTTCTTTCTTATTTTCTTAACCTATTTATAATTTTTATTTGTTTTAAGTCACATTAATACTGCTAAGGCCAAATGGCAACTTTTCAACTTCATTGGTACGTTATTTCAGGCCTAATAACGTACAGAAGTAGAACCCAAGACTTTCTATAATGCCATTTCTCTTTTTTTCTACTATCTCTTACAAAAATCTGCAGTAATAATCTTTAAACTTTGTCATTAAAATTTTTCATATGAAATATAAATGCATGAAAGGACAACTAAGTGTAAAAGTTTTCAATTACAGCTTAATTAAGAGTTCTGAAAATGTAAAAACAGGTAAATGAAATCATATGCCATACCATCCTGGTCATTTCCTACACCTTGCATTTGTACTAGAAACTCTGTTTTAATTCTACGACCAGATTCGGACTCATTCTCACTTCGAAATCCAAATATGGAATCTAAATCATCTATAAATATAATGCTTGGTTTGTTTTCTCTTGCCATACTGAATAAGGTTTTGACTAATCTGAAATGATGAATACATACTGGTGAAAAATGTTACAGCTTCAACTTCTCAATCATTAAAAACATCTTTTCTCTTACATTTTGTAATACTGTTTTGGCTTATGTGACGGATAAAGTTGCTAGACATAGTGGAAAAAGCCTAATTTATTTGTTGTACTGTATATAGTGGTTCAAATGTCCAAATGTTAATGTAAAATGATAATAGAGATGAAACCTTTAGATAGAGCATGTACATGTACCTCAAGATCAGTAAATTAAGAGGTCTTATTTGGTAATTGACCAATGATAGAGTTCATGTTCAGTCCTTACATTAGCTGCAGTTCTTATGTATATAACACTCATTTATTTTGAATAATTTTCAGGAAAAGTAAAGATATGAGAGTCTTAAAACAGATATTTCTATCACTTACTTTTCTGATTCTCCAAGCCACATAGATACCAGATCGGAAGAGATAATATAGAAAAATTTAGTATTTTTTGCTTCTGTTGCCACTGCCTTAGCAAGAAACGTTTTTCCTGTACCAGGGGGCTGTAACAATTCATAGAAATAAAGTAATAATTTAAAGTATGATCTATAAAAGAACAACCAGATGTTATAAAAATGATAAAACTCATTATGATAATAACATTTGTTTTTTTCTTTCATTCGTATTTTCTTGTCTAATTTGATCAAACAATTGCACTGCGCCTATTAACAAGAAATGTTCACAGATAAGCATACTAAACAAATTCAATGCTTGAGCCTTGATGCCTTAAAAAATGTGTATACAAAAAGCAAAAATACTTGCAAAAACAACATAAACGAATGTCATAAACCAAAACGTTTTCTAATTTCCGAAGCAAATGCAGGTTTAGTATAGAAAGTTACAACACGACGAAAGTTAAACCAAAATTCTGAAAATGTGGCAAGATTTTTTACCTACAAGTGGAAGGTGATAATCAATGTTTCAAGGCAATAATTTTATAGAGAAAATAATGAGGTGGTGCAAAATGACTACACGCTGTCATGAACATCAATGCCGTGTATGACAATTCTATTTTAGTCAAGTCAGAGTCAAGGTAAAACCATATCATCATCTACTTGCGACTGAGAAATGAGATTATCATCAATCATCAATAAACAACAATCAGATAATGGATTATTAATATAACTTACACCATATAACAGTATTCCTCTCCATGATCTTCTTGTCCCTGGAAATAATAATAATTGTAAAAATAATGCTCAATATAAATCCATGCAGTATAAATCCATGCAGTATAAATTTATTTCTAACATGTCTACAGAATTTAATTCAAAAACTCTTATCTCATATCAAAACAGAGACATAGATAACAGAGATAGGCAACTTCCTAGCCAGTTCAGATATCACACGTGCTTGTTAAACTTAAAACTTGTAGCAAGTAAAACTTATTAATCAATAAAATAATACATTTTCTGGAAGCTTATGCATTTTTCTATGGCTGCAGGTAAAAATATTTACAGTTCCCATTAAAATAAATGATACGTCAATTTCTAAAAAGTACTACTTAATAATTTTTGTTAATGACGAAAAAACTGGCTCAGTAAGTATGTTCTGCTATGTTTTACTAAGTGTGGGGCAAGGAAAGTTACCAATATTTTAACATACAGCAATAGATAAAAGATTTAACTTTTAAATAGTGTTTAACATAAAAGGATCAAATGTACATCCATTAAGTTTTATTTGCTACAAAATGCCTAATTTTTCACTTTTTTGATAGGCATGAGTGATATTTCAATGGAGTATATAGGAGCTGCTTATATATCTCTGTTATCTACATCTCTGATCAAAATTATCTTTCCTGTTTATTTATTTTATTATTCCTGGCTCTGTTTTCTATGGTGGCATATTTCTGCCACCAGATAACCATATAACTAACTAGTAAATTAAGAGGTTAACTAGTTAACTTAATGAACTAGTTAGGTATCAGGTAACCTCTTATAATTAACTTGTTAGGTATCAGGTTAACTAGTTACGTAACTAGTTAACCTCTTAATTAACTAGTAAGTTATCAGGTTATCTGGTGGTAGAAATATGCCACCATAGTTTTCTCGTTTAATGTACACATATCTTTCACTTGAGGTCATACGACGCTTTTCATGTAATGCCATAAAGGCAACATTGGTTGTATGATCAGTCATATGCACACATCTGAAGAAGTTGTTTATTTTCTTAATTTAAAAAAAGAAATCGTTTTCATATTATTATGTTGAGATCTGCGTACAACGTTTCTAACATACAAACACAAAACTATTTTCACTTATCGCCTAAAAACAGACTATAATTCTAAATTTAGAATAAAAAATCGTTTTCATGTTTATATGCAAATTTCCGCATAAGCCGGTGCTTAGGGGTGTGACTAGTAGCTTGCATTTATCACAGCTGTCTATAAATAGGCTGACTCTTACCATCGTGCAACGTTTTCATGTTTACCATATGTTTAACAAGGCCTTGCGAGCATACACATATAATTACCATTGTAATTCTTGGAGAGAAAAAAAAATATTTTAAGACAGGAAAGTTGAGCAAACCTGTGAAAAGATGCGGAAATTGAGAAGGTAAAATAACAGCTTCTTTCATAAATTCTTTGGCTGCATCAAGCCCAGCAACGTCTTTCAATTTTATGTTTGGTTTCTCCGTAACAATGGTTCCTGAAAACAGAACACCAATTTAATAGCTACATGCATAAAAATATTTGGATAAAAGGCATTATTCTACAACTTTCAATCTTTCAAGTAGCAGGTGTCAAATGGTAACGTAAATTAATGAATAATTAATATAGAATAATACAGCTTAACAGTTCAATACATCAAACTACCAATCTCTCAAAATCTGGCAAAAGTTGATTCTATCTGACCGCTAATTTTTTCAGAAACTAACACAAAATCATTACCTGATACGATCTCTTCAAATGTCTTTGATTCCGCCCTTATTTTCATCATCTTCACTGCCTCGGAAGAAATCAAACATATTATGAATAAAGCATATCATGCACACCAAATATTGCCGCTATACTATCAATCGATCATTAACATTAGCATGACATGAACAATAATAAAATATTATGAGAAAAAAATACTGTAGTGTAATATAGAAATAGATGAATATAGCAGTTTATTATATAGAATAACATATTCAATCGATAATGCTGATTTTGCAGATTATGGATTTACCCTGCATAGCGATTTGAATAGTCCGTTTAAAGTTTAAGTCATTCCAATATCAAAATACAATAATTGCGCTTCCAACAGTATGAAACCTGGCACGGATGCACGAATATGCCTGGCCCGGCTTTAGACTAATGGCAAAGGCAAACCATTTTCAGTTCCAGAAGGGTGAAGGTTGAGTTTAGCTTACCCCTTCTACGGATTGATCCGCAGTATCTGCTCTGTCTATGCATGTTGTGTATACATTGGCTCTTACACTCACCTTTCCTTTAACCAAGCTTAATTACATTAAATAAGAAAAGCTCTGTACTTTGGAATCTTAATAAAAACACAAAATAAAAATAATGAATAAATACACCTTAAATATTTTCCTAGTAAAATTCTTTTCAACAAAATCATTCTTTTCAGATAAATCTGAAACTTTGGATATGATGGTCCATAACATGATATACATGTATTGCGTAAAATGTACGCATTTAGTCTTCTAAAACAACATAGAAAATATACATTGGTTTAAAATGATTATCCGGAGAAATAAAAGAAAATAATCTACAAACAAAAGCTGTCACCCAAGTGACGAATGCCCCCCGAAATGGTTTCTTAAGCATGCAGGTATTATGACAAGAAAAGAGATTAAAATTAACTAATTGCCGAATAATGTTCTTTGTATTATTGTACCTGTAATATATAATTGTGATAGCATGAACCTTCAAAATATAAGTGTGACCTTGACCTTTGAAGAAGGGACGTGGTTCCTGGACGCGACAAAATGTTGTTATGAGATAGACATTTGTGCCAAATTATTTCAAAATCGCTCAATGCATGACAAAGTTACAGTCTGGAGACGATTGTTGTGTAAGTGGGGACAGACGGACAGACGGACATGAGCCTTAGCCGCGACACATTGTTTTGATGTGGTAGACATTTGTGCCAAGTTATTTTATAATCCTTCCATGCATGACAACGTTACAGTCCGGACATGAATGTGTATCTTCAAACTCTTCTCGAGAGAATGAGTACCTTCAAACTATAAGTGTGACTTTGACCTTGAAGGTAGGGACATGGGTCTTTGTCGCGACATGTCGTCTTGATGTGGTAGACATTTATGCCTAGTTATTTTAAAATCCTTCAATGCATGACAAACTGCATGCCCGGACACGAATGTGTTTTCGTATAAACTCTAATTGTGATAAAGTGAAATTCAAAATGGTAGTGTGACCTTGATCTTTGAATAAGGGACGTGATTATTGGACGTGAAACGTCGTCTTGGTGTTGTAGACATTTTTATCCTGTCACTTGTATCGATTTCGGCCCGATAACAAGGTGCCGTATATTTTTACTGATCTACGGCACTTGATCACGTGGTATGCATGTTTGCCGGACTACTTTTCAAGAAAAAATATAAAAACTGTCGTTAAATCTTCTGTGTGTAGAATAACGAATTTCGGAAACGTTGATAAAACTTTGTTTGTTTATTTTATTTCACCCTATAATTTTTCAAGCGAAATAAAAATTATTAAAAGTGAAATAAATGTAAAACTTAACTCGTTTGCCACATTAAAATAGCGTATTTGGTTTGATTGTTTTGCACGTGCTGTTTGGCGCTACATTGTGACGTCACGTAAACAATACTTTTAACGTCTGTACAGCGTCAACGACTTCGTATCGATTTATTCAGGGACTTAATAAAAGATATTGGTGTTCGAATTCATTTTCTTAGTTATACCATTTTCTTTCATTCTAGATAGTTTTCACAACAAAATTCGACAAAAAAATGTTTTTATTTATCACATTTTTCAAACAAAATGGCGCCCTCAATGTGAAAATACACAGGGAGATATTAAGAACGGCGAGTGCATTGTTGTAGAATAATGAACGCCTCGGGCCTTCTTGTTTTATATAGAAACATTTCCGATAGTTATTTAAAGGTAGTTTGCCTAATAAAAGTCTTTAAAAAAAACGGTGACAGGATAAATAGAATAATAGGTTGGTGCCGTGGATGGAGAAAGTTTATCTGGCTCTGCTCCGGAATTTATTGGGTTCGCCTTCGGCTCACCCAATAAATTCCTCCGCCTCGCCAGATAAACTTTCTCCATCCACGGCACCAACCTATTATTCTCTATATGCCAAGTTATTTTAAAATTCTTCCATGCATGACAAAGTTACAGCCGGGACACGATTGTGTGTATCTATTAATTCTAATTGTGATAATGTGAAACTTCAAAATTTTAGTGTGATCTTGACCTTTGAGGTACAGACCTAATGCTTGGACGCGACACATCATCTTGATGTGGTAGACATTTATGCCTAGCTATTTAAAAATCATTTGATGCAAGCCAAAGTTACAGTTCGGACACGAATGTGTGTACCTATCTACTCTAATTGCGATAATGTGAAACTTCAAAATGATAGTGTGACCTTGACCTTTGAGGTAGGGACGTGGTTCTTGGACGCGACACATCGTCTTGGTTTGGTAGACATTTGTGCCAAGTTATTTCAAAATTCCTCAATGTATAACAAAGTTACAGTCCGGACACAAAAGAAGTGGGGACGCACAGACGGACAGACAGACAGTGCGATTATATAATGCCTCCCTTCGGGGGCATAAAAAATGGTACGGAAAAATAACTATATTTCGTTCGGAATTAAAACATAAGTAAACCCATGTAATCTTTAATAAGACTGTCTAAGCAAATAAAAAAAAATGAAAATCTTATTTCTACTCACATTTGATTGCGGTAAGGAAATTCTCTATTGCATGCCCATTTCGTCTTAATTCATCTTATCTGCTTCTGTAGCGTATGCCACAAGCTCAATAGCACTCAATAATTATGTGGTATGTGGAGGTTTAATAACAACAAATACAAGTTTCATATGCCAGTCATAAAGTATTCAAATAACTAATGTGTGTTCTATCCCACTGTCACTTTATATTATTTACAGCATAACTTTGAATACTCGTACTTTTATGTAAAAATCGATCTCCAATTCATATTTCACTCGATTTTACTAATATCACGAATAAGAATGTAAATAGATTAAACTAGTTCCCTGTTGAATCTTAATAACTGTTTTGCATTCCTATAATTGCTTCATTCCATTTTCATTTGAAATAAATAATATTGATATAGATTTATTGCGATAGATTTGCATGTTGAAGAAGAAACGCATTCTGTATTCAATTTCTTCTTAATAGAAGTAGTTATTTACTTGACTACATACTAAGAGTATGTAACTCGGTTCTTTACCAAAATTATCCAATCAAGTTTAATAATAAAAATCTGAATGCTAAACGAAAATCTATTCCAATTTTGTATTTTTTTTGTTTGTTTCCTTTTCCATTATTTTTTTCTTTAACACACGGTCACATGTTGAGGATAACTATCATGTGTATTTACCTATCGATTAGTAATATACATTAACAAAGCTTTGATCATGTGACTATATAGCAAAACTCTATAAATAAGTATTACACACTCCTACTCTGCTATTATTTTTTTTAATATAACGATTATTTAAGACATTCAAAGATCAATACTGCAGCCATGCCTTTTGTAAAGCTACATGCTTCCAGAATGATGAGTCAAAATATTTAAATAAAATCAAACTTAAGAAATGTACTTATGTTTTAGGAAAGAGAAAAGATTTAACTAAAAATTTACATGTTACGTGCGATTAAAGATTGATTTTTCAGTATTTATAGCTATATTTCTACTGCGTAACCGACATAGTAAGGGCTATTTATACATATTTTAATCTCGTTTTGGTTTTTAAGTGTCATTGCTAAGTATTAATTGCTTCCTGTAGGTTTCCTCACAAAATTATACTTTTAAAACTTTCATGAAAATAAGTATGAATTTGGAGGCGCGTTGCTTTAATCATTTATTAGAATCATGTATGTTCGACAATGTTTTTTTTCTATTCATTTAGAAAAATACATTTTACGGAGCAAAAACTTGCTCTAATTACCACCGCTTATACTTCCTTAATGGATGGGGTATGTGTGTGTGTGGGGGGGGGGGGGGGGGGGCTAGGCGCTACCTGTTTTGACTTTAGGCCGTGCATTGTGGTGAAACCGACTTAACCTTTTCCCTTATATAAACGTGTTTCGACGGCTTTTTGCCCATCCCCCCCCCCCCCCTTTGAGGCCTCAAACAGTGAAAAAATGTCCTATTTAGGGCCTGGAACACTGTTTTTCGTATGAGAAATGTTGTGCCCCCTTCTGTTTGGGGGGGTTTGAAGGGGGGCCAAGTGACCCCCTCATCGCCAAGAAAATTTTGGACATGTGACAGGCTAAAAATGGCCTCAGGTTGATCTTGGGTAACTAGTAACCGACGCTGAAAAGGCTTTTACTCTATCTCAATTCATTACGAAGTTGCAGCACTTTGAAATCAGTTTTGATGGAAAAAAACAATGCAAAATAGTGATTTTTGGCAATTTTGAGACCTCCCCCCGTTGCCATGTTAACAGGAAATTTTTTGATTGAGCATGCTGTTACAGAGGCTATGGTCTAGTCAACATTTGTGCCAACTTTCATCAATATTGAAGCATTTTTCATAGTTTCATAGCAGTTTGAACTTGTTACAGGAGACTTTTCAATGAAAACGGCCATTTTTCGCAATATGCTCATGGGGTAAAAGGTTAAATGTACCAGCATTATGACTATGGCGTAATTTTCTCTGTCCTTTTGGCGTCTTAATGGCCACAAAGACTACTTGAAATTTTCTCCGCCATCTCTTGAGCTGATCCGCGAGTTCAGGGTCGTGTTACAATCAAATTCTTTTTACTGTTTCATTACTGTGATTTTATCAACTTAATGCCGTTATCTGTTTTATTGTGATTAGCTTCTGGCATCATTTGGGCGTTATTCAACATTGACGGCATTAATGTTAAGGTGCATTAAATTTTGAAACTTTATTCTAAAATGAAGACACAGAATATTGTTCTGCTGCTTATCTCTTGATCGAGTTACTGAGAAACTGTCAAAGCTGACCGGGTTCCACCACTAATGTTACTGACAAACAAGCTTCTTGAACATTAGAATAAAACCATGGCATTCATATGGCTGGCGTGAGATCCATCATAGCATCACCACATTTTGTCTAAATAGTCGTATCAAACATATAGCGTGATAGAACTAAGACTTGAAATAAAAGTTATTGAATCAGCAGGCTTTGAAATCTGAAATCTACCGACATTAAAAAAAACTGGAGACAAAACTGTCTAATTGAAAACATTTTATTGTCATACATTATATTATAATTATAGAGATAACAAGAGTACAAAAAGTTCACAAGATGAATTCACAAATAATCCGTACATTTTATAATATCATACAGTTAAAACAATGCATAAACGACCGAATCACACAGCTGTCTTTCGTGAAAATTCAAACATATTATAGCATACGGTACCTAAATATTTTCCTAAATATGTCAGATATTTCACTTAACACTTTGAGATGGAAAACAATGCATTATATTACTGGACTGAACCAAATAATTTGCAGAATATTTATAAAATTTACAAGTTTCAAAACAGTATTTTGCATTAAAACAATTCAGACTGAATAAAGATCAGGTTATATAAGGAATGCACTTTCTTGTCTGTGCAGTTACTTAACTATACATTAATGAATTCTCATAAATTTTGGCCTCAATGAGGTGGTTGATTGTATGTGAGCACAAGAACTGTTTGCATATTTCTTAGATCTCATTAATACTTGGTAAAATAAACCAATTTAACAAAAATATAGATTTCTCTTTGGTTTGGAAAAAAAAGTGCATGAAATATCATCATCCAAAAAATGTAAACAAACTAACATTGTTGGTTTAAAAACGACGTGTGGAAATGCATACATGTTTACCATAATGAAATCATAAATGAAATAAAGAGCTGTTAAAATTGTAATTGAAAATGTCAGTGTTACATTATGTTGTAGACACTTTAAACTGTCTCATTAATAATATAAATGTACATTTAAAAAAAAAGAACATAAAATTCACCAAAAGGAATATTTTGCCTATATGAAATCACACAATTTTACAATCTGACAATTCTTAAGAGAGCACAACCGACTTTCTAAAGTAGCAAACTGTTTATCAATGTCATGGTTAACTTTTACAATCATGCAAAATGTTTATTGGATCTAGTCTTAATATAATCTTGAAATAATTTTTAACATCAAATCCAAATGGATTTGAGTTAAGAGAAGCATAGTCTCCAAGTCCAATTATTGGAAACCATTTAGTCGCCTCATATAATCATGCATGGATAAATGGTGGCTGCCCTTCTTATGCCTCAACAATTAAAGAAAAACCCTCAGGGCTTGACCTGGTGGAACTGAAAGTGATTATCCTTCCCAAGCACTACAGAGCTTGGTCAGACTGCACTTCCCAGGGTAGCTTAAGTTTTTTTTATATATTGAAATCCATTAGAATTTGCGTGTGTGGACTTCTTGAAATTCAAAGCTGGGCAAATTCATGATACAAATACCGCTGGTTAAGGGTTATTATGCACAAGATGAATTATTTTATTTCCAAGTTACAGGATTTCAAATTCTACAAACAAGCTAAAATGACACACTTACCATTCTAATTAACAATGGAAGTAAAAGTTCAAAACTTGAATTAGTCAGTATTTAAACAAAACAAATTCCTTATTACACCCACAAAGATAATGATAACATGACTTAGTAGAAAATTTGTATTCACAGAATTTATTAGACATTTTCAGACCACTTTTAACATTTTTAATATAAGAAGAATATTTCTTCATCAGTGTATTGTTTCCAAAGTATAATGCAACTGAATTTTTTTTTAAAAATTGTTTATTTTTGAAAAAGACAAATTCACTTATCAGGTAAAAAGAGAAAATATATAAATATCAGCACAGACCTATAAATAATACAAATATCTTGATATGGTTCAATTTGTCCAAGAGTCATTGCTTATACATTAACAATGGATTAGGTCTCAATAATTTCCTTACATATTTCTTATACAATTTGAACAAAAAAAGCAATCAAATAGTTCAAACTGACAGCTCAATTTATACCATAAAATATCTTGAAAAACCATGATAAATTAATTTCTTACTATTTTGCCTATTTATGTGGTTTTACTCAGCACTAACATTACAAATTCAATATACACTTTTGTGTATATTGACTGGTTGAAAAAATTACCTTTTTAAAACAATTAACAGTTGATGAAAATTGCAGAGTAACTAAATATCAGGAACTGTAAAGAAAAAATCAATATTAATCTTTCATGAGTGTTTGAAATAACCATGGACACAATAAGGATACCACTGACAAAAGTCCGAAAATATCCATCTACCAATCAAATGTCATTTCTGTGAAGAAAATTACTTTGGTGTTATGAAGAATCAGTTTGGTTCTAAAATCAACCTAGCATGTAAGAAAAAAATTGTTTCATAAAATTATTTATAATTTTTATGAGAAAAGATAACAACAATATGTAAGAAGATTATGACTAATTTAAAGTATGAATGAACTTAAAATTTCTCAAGTTGTAAAAGAAAAGACAGTGTGGTTTATCAGAAACAGAACTTCATACATATTTGCACAGGTAAGTAATTTGATGACAGTTAACCACTTTTTTTTTATCAGTGGTTAATGCTAACCATAACAAAAATCAATCATTGCAGAAATATGTACAGTGTCCAAGGATAAAACCCACACTTCTGTTCTGTAAAACCTAATTCTCAAACTGTTCAGCTAACATAGACATATTAAATAGTACATGAAAAACAGAAATAACTAAAATCATGTATTTATTTAAGAAGATTACAATATGGTGTAAATGATACAATTAGCATTCATTTATTTGAACTAACATACTTTTAAATGTTATAAAAATGAAAACGTAAAATGATTTTAACAACAACTCCTTATTCAAAGACAGATAGTGATTCTATCTTTATATTGTCAGCATCTGTTGTAATAATTCAATACAAGAACTTAGATCTCCTGCTTTACTGTATGTTTGTTGTAAATAAGTAGACAGCAGATAAAATTGTTCGTCTTCAAAAAAATAATTTACATCACTATATAACATGAAAATGAACAAAATGAACATTTCCAGCCACTGCTAGCCTTCTTGACCAAAATCATTTGTGAATTCTTCGTGTTTTTTCAAATCATCATCATTAACAGTTGCCTTCTGTGTCTGTAGTGACATTAACATATCAGCCTGAAATCAAATATTTGAAAATATATTAACATAATGCTGTAATGTTTGTTAATGGATGAAATAAGCATTTTCAATTAAACAGGCTTGCTTACAAGATACTTTGTAATTTTTCTTATTATTATTTTTTTTTCTGTTAACCCTTATCCATAAACCAAAGGATAAAGGTACATTATTTCTTGTATAGTTGAAACAGTAAAGGAAATCAATACAAATTAAGCATAGATCCCTGACCTATCTATTTCCTATTATCAGATTAGTGGATACAATAACAATGTCACCACAACCTATTTGATAACAAAAGAGCACATGTCAATGTTTGTGGTTAAATCTTTTGTTATTCAAATAGAAGGTCAGAGTAGGGATCTACCAATATTATATAAGATAAAAAATATATGAGCCGTGTCACGACAAAACCAACATAGTGCTTTTGCGACCAGCATGGATCCATACCAGCCTGCGCATCCGCGCAGTCTGATCAGGATCCATGCTGTTCGCTATCAGTTTCTCTACTTGTAATAGGGTTGGTAAGCAAACAGCATGGATCCTGATCAGACTGCGCGAATGCGCAGGCTGGTCTGGATCCATGCTGGTCGCAAACCCATTATATTGGTTTTGTCGTGACGCGGCTCATATCCTAAGAAATAAAATTAACGTAATTGCAAGAGAGAAAATCCAGTTTACCATGCTAACAACAGGTTCAAGCAGTTTGTGTCCATCCACTTGGGTCCAGTTCATTTCTATTGCACCAGGTGCCCCAGGTGAACACGGGGTCAAAAGGTCATCAACAATTTCATCTGGATTGTCTCTGGACGGACCTCGTACCTGTAACAAATTGTAGCACAATTACAGCTATTTGTTTTCATCATCAATTTTCCATGTTTACCACAAACTAAGAAAGAACTCAGCTTAATAAAATAAAGAATTTCTAAAAAGCATTAAGATACAAAATGAACATATCTTTAGTTTAGCTAGCAGCAATCTTCATTAAGATTGTGCTCATATTTTGAATTTCAACATTTTTTTAGTCTCTTTTTGTTTTGTTTTTGCACCAACATAGTTTTGGCCATATGACAACTTCCCAGCTTTACTGGTGGAGAAAGACATCCATTCCATGCATTATTTCAGGCATGAATGGGCACCTGAGTAGAACAACCAATGTTTTGTAAACTATCTGGATAGCTTCCTCACATGAAAGATGAATTTCGACAATATATTGTGACAATTTAATCATAACAGCAATAATTCTAAAGCTTCATCGCAATAACCTATTCTGTAAATGAGCTTAATTTTTACTGCTCTTTTAGTTACTACTAATACACCTAATTTGATGAAGTGCCAGGTCATATCAAAATCTGGATGAATAAATTTGTTGTAAATCAGAAAAGAAATTTCAGTAGACAATAATTATCAAGACACATATTATTAGAAAGCTATAAGATAAGAATATACCTTTCTGAAGTGCGTAGCAGTTTGTACTTTACGTACTGGCTGCATGAGGGCATCTCTCACAACAATACTAACATCTGCACCAGAATAACCCTCAGCCTTCAATCCTAGCTGTCTGTTCAAAATAAAATTACTCATAATAAAATAAAAGCACCTACTTTTAAAATATAGTGTTTTGATATACACTGTTAAAGATAATAATTTTTTTCCTTCAATTGTCTTCAAAATAAAAAATTCAAATGATCTAAAACATAGCTTAAAATAAAAGGCAAATTTTGCATTTGTGCTGCCTGTTTTAACAAATAACCGTACAAAAATTATATTTCTAAAGCTTGGCTTTGCAAACACTTTTGCCACATACTGATAGTGAAAATAAACTTACTTAAAATCTTCATCAGTGAGAGAGTTTGGTGTAGAGCCAAGGTGAAGTTTAAACATGAGTGACCTTGCGGGTGCCTCAGGTAGAGGGATGTATATACGTTTCTCAAACCTTCTACGAATAGCAGAATCTAAACTCCATGGTATATTTGTTGCACCTAACACTAATACACCTACAATATTACAACTATGAAGTTAATACAAAAATTAAAATGTAAAAAAATTAAAGCTAGACATTTTTTTTTATTTATTTTATCAAATTCAAGCCAAATCAAAACTAGGCAGGGCCAACTTTCGAGACCGATGATTCTAATACTTTTAGTGTTGTGGATATCTAATAATGCTTCATCTCATAAAAGACTGTAATATGCAATACTTTCACAAAGATTTTTTACTAGATCAGAAAGTCTTTAGTTTTATTGGATTTTGAGTCACATCAACACTGTTATGGTCATATGGCCATGTTCCAGGTTTTCTGACGGAGGAAGACATCAGATGACCTTTCTTAAAATAATTTCAGACATGAGCCAGTCATATGGAAATTTTCCAAGTTTACTGACACATTTTTTTTTTACAATGCACCCCACCTTCTACTTACTTTGTCATTCAAATTGTTTCATATAGAAATATAAATGCCTGAAATGACAATCAAGTGTATAATTTCAATAAAAATTTAATCTGTGAAATCTGAAAGTGTAAAACAGGTTCATGAATGATATGACATACCATCCTGGTCATTTCCTACACCTTGCATTTGTACTAGAAACTCTGTTTTTATTCTGCGAGCAGATTCTGACTCGTTCTCACTTCGAGATCCACATAAAGCATCTACTTCATCTATAAATATAATGCTTGGTTTGTTTTCTCTTGCCATACTGAATAGGGTTTTGACTAATCTGAAATGATGGATTTCATAATGGTAAAATATGTTACAGCTTCAATTTCCTAATGTCATTAAAAACCTTAAAGCTTTTGCTTATGTTTTGTTCCACTCCCTTGGTAAATGGGCAGAACAAAATGACTAGAAAAATATAGTGGAAAAGGACTCCTGTATCTATTGCACTGTTTATACTTGTTCAAATGTCCATATCTCCATAGAAACCACAAGAGCTGTCTGTAAGACAGCTGACTTGATTATTCTCAGTGCTTGACAGCAACAAAGGGGCATAACTCTGTATAAAGGTAACTTAAGAGTTATGGAACCTGTGCAAACCATGAAAGACAATCACAGAGAACAAATGTGTGCAGTTTCAATCCATTCACTTTAGTAGTTTTGAAGATACCAGCTTGCTTGCAAAAATTTAAAGGAGCTCAATTGAGGTCAAAAATCCTTAAAAGCATAAAATTTGAAGTTCATGCATAGATGAAGTGATATATTTAACATGGAAAAAAAATCTGCAAAAGATTATAAAGAAATAGACTTTTATAAAAATTGAAAATTGATATGTTACATGATTATTAGCCTGGATAGGATGAAAAGCATTGCAAATGCTTTTAATTTTTGGTATTTTTGCAAAATAAGAATAATTATTCTGGGAAAATCGAGTGAGTGAATAACCTGAAATTTTGCACACAAGTTATAAGTCCAGACCTACATCAAATAGTACATAAGACACAAAAAAATGTTTCAAGTCCCTTCATGTAAAAAAACAGCAGGGGAGTCACTTTAACCAAAGTGTGATGCTGGCACCAGTGTGAGTACAATAGCTCTCCTTAATCTTTAAATAGTCCAGCTAAACATTTTGATATAAAGATCATGTATCTTAATGGTAAATCAAGTTCCCCCTACTGAGTATTGACCAATGATAGCATTCATGTTTAGTTCTTACATGTAAACTGGCTGCAGTTGACATGTATATAACAATCACTAATTTTTGAATGAGTTTCAGGAAGAAGAGTGAAGAGTTAGATTATGCAACTTATAAAAACAAATATTTTTATCACTTACTTTTCTGATTCTCCAAGCCACTTAGATACCAGATCGGATGAGGAAACAGAGAAAAATGTAGAATTGTTAGCCTCTGTTGCTACTGCCTTAGCCAGAAATGATTTTCCTGTACCAGGGGGCTGCAATGATTTATATCAATAAATGAGCCGCATCACAACAAAACCAACATAATTGGTTTGCGACCAGCATGGATCCAGACCAGCCTGCGCATCCGCGCAGTTGATCAGGATCCATGCTGTTCGCTATCAGTTTCTTTACTTGATATAGGGTTTGTAAGCGAACAGCATGGATCCTGGTCAGACTGTGCGGATTCGCAGGCTGGTCTTGATCCATGCTGGTTGCAAACCCATTATGTTGGTTTTGTCATGACGCGGCTCAAATTAACAATTGGCAAAAGACGTCAATAAGCATTAGGTTGCTTCCAATCTAATCCTTTTCTTGTATTGATTGTAAATATCATGTATGTAAATATGCTTATGTGATGAATAAAATATGTTTAAACCAACAAATTGAAGTATGATCAGTTTAAAACATTAGTTTTAATTTGGTGGTTTAGTCAACACATATCAACAGATGCCTATGCCAGAGCACTGCATGTGGTGTTAACGCTTGTCTGTTAAAAATTCCAAATTCAAATCTTTACCCAAATTTTTAATCTGAGGCAAAATTATTAATGTCAAAATTCAAGACAGAGTTATGTGCTCCTATCTATAAAAGATGGTGCATCTATACAAGTACAATTGTATTCCAAAATTCAGAATAATATCTTACTGAATTCAGAGAAAGTAGAGTGGTTTAACAAAGATTTAACCAATATGTGATATTGTAATGAATGCAGATATTTGTTATACTCGGACTCTACATAGCTGGGTACGCATTATGAAACAATAAATATGATGATCAAAACAGTGATTAAAATGGTAACTTACACCATATAATAGAATTCCACGCCATGGTTTTCTTTTCCCTACAAATGAGAATGACAATTATATAAATGACACTCAATATAAACAGATATCAAATTAAATCTTACTTTACCTGAAGCAGTTCATTTAACTTAAGCATACTAAAAAGCTAATTCATGCCATTTAAGACCAGTAATTTCTCTTTCGGTTAGTACATTTAAATTAATCAATATTTTTTGTTGGTTTATAAGTTAAGACATGTAAGTTTAGCAAACCTGTGAAGAGATGTGGGAATTTAACAGGTAAAATAACAGCTTCCTTCAGGGCTTCTTTAGCGCCATGAAGCCCAGCAACATCATCCCATTGTATGTTTGGTTTCTCCATAACAATGGCACCTGAAAACAAAACAACAATTTAATTCAATTTCACATTTATTAAAGTAAAATTTGGATTCTATCTCTGTATAACAGACATTCTTTTTACAATTCTTTCATTTCTTCAGGTATAAGTATCCAATCTGTATAAAAAATTTTAATGCCAAAATAATGGAGTAACATGAAAACAATTAATGCAGCAATTGTTTTCCTTCTATAAGTGGTACTGAAAAACGGACCCATTCACAATCACGAACTTTCACAATTTTTAGAATGGCTTCAATAGACCCTTTCACAATTCTGCAAAAATTAATAATCTACAACAATTCAACTTAGAATTTTGTCTTTCTCCTGATTTTTTTTCTTATAACAGTGATTAAAATCTCAATTTGCCATTGTGTTGTTGTTATTGTTCAACATTTAAATGTTGTGTTACTGTCGATATTCAAACCAAAAATAGAATTGATGGCCACTGTTTTATTCTTTTTCTTGCATATCTGTTATCATGTCATATCATTTATACGTCGGAAAGAAATTACGCATTTATCACGTTTTTCATACAGCAGCATATGAATTTACAACCTTCATTCATACAGACAAAATGACATCATGCCAAGAAAGAAATTAATTCATGAAAAGATGCATTGGAATGACCTCATTTAAAGCACGCAACTTCTCTTACCTGACAAGGCACCTTCAAATTTTTTTGTATCAGCACTTTTTTCATCATCTTCACTGTCAGACGATTCTCTAAATAAAAATAATAATAATTTTGAAAAATAGAATTTTAATTACATAAATAGATGGAATCATGGGTATAACAATGTGTAAGTTTAATTATATTACTGATTTTATTGTATTCTTTGTCAAAGCAGTCCATGTATCTGAGATATTGTCTTATGTCTAAGTAGGAATACCTTTCAATTATAAAAGTTATCATGCTGATTCATAGTTTTTTTGTGCTGCCAATGCCAAGTTATAAATTAAACAGTAATCTTACTTTTTAGAACTACCTCCTCCACCTGCTTTCATAGGTTTAGGTTTCTTATCATTTCCGAGGTATTTTTTCAGCTTTTCAGCTCTGTCTAGGTATTGTATACACTTTGCTCTTATACTCTCTTTTGCTTTATCACTCTGTGCTTCATCTAACAAAATTAAGTTATTTACCAATTTAGTTTTTTTTTTCTAAACAAGCTGAATAACAGTTTAAAAACTTAAATAAAAATCTGGTTTATAAAGTTTATCTGTATAGATCTGAATGTCATACAAAAATTGGAGATGTATACCAAGGTAAGTTCTTGAACTTTATAAGTTTTAAAAACTCATATATATATACCAAGTTTTTGTAAATGAAAGAAAATAATGTAGGTACCGTAATACTCAATTGAATGAAATATAAAAATCTTATTTCTACTCACATTTGATTGCATGAAGGAAATACTCTACAGCATGCTCATACAGTTTTAAGGCTTCCTCATAATTTTTCTTTTTATCTTCTTCTGTTGCCTTTGTTACAAGCTCAATAGCTTTCTATATTAAAAAAAAAAAATAGAAAAAAAAAACTTTTTATACCTTCAAATGCAAGTTTCACATAATTTAGTAATACAGTACAGGTATTGAAAAATAAATGGTATTATAATTGTAACCTGCATTGTATGACAAGAATTACAAAAGATAAAATATTTCCTTTTCTGATTAGAAATGGCAATTATAATAAAACTAACACATATTGCTGGACCACCATAGTATGACCCTCTTCCTTCAATGTAACGCATTTTGAATTCTTATTTCTAATATTTTCCAAATTTGTCTATTAAATTTTAACAATACAAATTTTATGTAAATTCTGCATAAAAATTTAATCCATTTTTTTTTTCAATTCTGAAAATTATCCTCTACGTCTCTTTCACTCTGTGAAGCCTTCTACATTTGGTAGTTGGCACACAATATTTCTGTTATATAGTGTAGCTAACCAGGTCACCTGCCGATGACTAAATGTGAATCTACCTATTGATTGGCTATACTAATAAATATGAACTGAATGTCTTGTGACTATAAAATAAAGGCTATAAATAACTTTTTGGCATCAAAGCTTTGAACATTACAATATTTGCTACAAAAGCTATGGTCTGTATGTTATAAAAAAGATTATCTAAGACTTTTTTAATCAATATTACGTTAGTGCTTTTTATGATCATTTAATAAGAATCATGTGATTGAATTTTTAAAAAAAAATTTTAAGACTCAAATTATTCATCACTTCATTTAAAATATAAAGGGAATGGTTTATTTTCTATGACAAAAATTATTTACTGTGATTAAAACTGCATGACAACATAATATAATATAGCAAACAATATTGCACAAAAAATTATTTATCGATAACTTCAGTTTTTAACATAATTTTGAAAAATATGTATAATTTTCTTCAAAAACACATATTGCAAGGCACAAAACATATAGACATTTGTTAAAATGGGTAAACTTTAGATATACTAGGACAAAATAAAATATTTATTTCATCAAATTTATGGTAAATATGACAACTTTTGGACCGGGTGGGGTAATGTTTATTTATCTTTTACAACGTTTATAAAGCGGTCTACCTGTAACGTATTTCCAGACATTGGCAGCAAAGAACTGGGAGAATTGTGCAAATGGAAAATACAATCTAATTCATGTAAAATTGTCAAGGTTTAAGACTGTTTAATTTTAGTTTCTTTATATGATTCATAGTCAAACCATTATGAAAATTGAGAAATCTTCTTCCGTAAATGTCACATGACCAGTGTAAGGGCACTAACTCTGATCGACAAAATCAACGATTAGAAAGGTTGAACGCCACAATAATATGGATTAACGCCTTTTCAAGAAGCGTTTTATTTTCTTGATTTTTAATGTTCGCTTTTCGCTCAAAGTGAATTAAAGACCACTTATCCATTTGCAGCTCGGCTTTTTCGTGTCGGGCTTTTTAGAAAAGTCCGTTCCCGTTGCCGTCCAATGTCTTAACATCAATTTTTAGTTATCAATTAATCTAATTTTAAATAATTACATGTATCATCATCTTTTTTTCTTATTAAAATAAGTTACTCTGGTTTCATCTTTTTCTTTTTTGGTTCATAGAACCCCGTTTAAAATAAGCTTTTTATATCAATGTGAACAAAATCATTGTAATACGATTGTATTAATTATTTTTGTTGTATAAATATGGTATTTTAGTTATTTTCTTTTATAATAATTTCTTTTATAATATCTTTTATTATATGATCTAGATATAGCTGCAATCTCAATGGTCCAAACAATAGTCAGCAGAACTTTTCTATAAAATTATATTCACTGTCTGAATTGAATTTTCCCTGTCTAAAAATAGGTTAATTACACCGTAGACTGTTAATTACGCGTGCGCATTAAAAATTATTGTTGCGTTTTGTTCTTTAAGATATATTTCTCGATGAAAAAATCGTTACTCTACTATTATGCTTAAAGGCTACACCGCAATGATAAGTATAAATTTGAATTACTTAAGTATGCGCAGCGTTCGCGTAGTCGTCGCACGCCTGACACGTGCGTCTTTTTTTCCGAGCTTCAACGAATAAGGCAGAAGTTTTACATGTATAAGGTTGTACTCTTTGTGATTTTTTTTAATTCTTAGCCTACTCATATAATTAAACAATTATCGACTAGTGAGCCATTGAATATGATGTGATATTCACCGGCAGATGACATATTGACCGAGGCGATAGCACACTATAGTCTGTCCGAATTACGGACAGGGCGGACCGTACCAGGGCGGACCGTGACTCGAGACCGGTATGCCTAAAATACGAAAGTGAGATTTTTGACGAAAGTGAGCGAAAGTGGGCGAAGTGACTTTTAAAATGTGAATTGTACCGTTTTAATAGAATTTCACAATGAATTTTCTGTTTGTAGACGTATATTATTAGCAATTAATAATATTTCTTTTAAAAAATAATCCCTATGATGATTTAATCGCCATTTATTTGCACAATTTCTATACACAAGTTCTGAGATCTTCCTTTCGCTCACTTTGAAAAAAAAGAAAGTGACATGTAAAATATTAAATATAGAGTTTAAATTGAAATTTATACTAAAATTGCAGTTTGCAGACGTATATCATCAGAAATATATAATATATATTTTAAATAATAATCAGTATGATGATTTAATCACCATTTGTTAGAATAATTTCTATGCACAAGTTCTTAGATCTTCCTTGCGCTCACATTGAAGAATACGAAAGTGACTTGTAAAATATTAAATAAAGCATTGTTCAAATTGAAAGTTACACATAAATTGCATTTTTCAGCCGTATAATATCCAAAATTAATATTATTTATTTTCAAAAATAATCATTATGATGATTTTTACCCCATTTTTTCTACATAATTTCTATATATACAAGTTCTACAATCTTCCTTTCGCTCACATTGAAAATACGAAAGTGACCTCTAAAATATCAAATATAAGGTTTAACTGAAATATAGTGTTGAATATCAAATTATTAATTTCTGAAAATATACGTTTACAAACTACAGTTTAAGAACATTTTCAATTCAAACTCTATTTTTGATATTTTACAAGTCACTTTCGTATTTTTCAATGTAAGCAAAAGGAAGATCGCTGAACTTGTATATTGTATATTGTACACACGCCTTAGAAATCACTGCAGTTCATTAAACGAGCACCTATTCTCAAAAAACATCATAAATAGTCCCCTTTGCACATGTGGTGAAATCGAAACTACATATCACTACTTTTTTAAATGTTTACTATTTGAAACTCAAAGAACACAGCTAATTGACAATATCAATGCACTTGAAAATGCAACCCCTACACTTTCTCTTGTCTTATATGGTGATAGTGACAACCCACAAATTAACAAATTTGTCTTTGAATATGTTCACTATTATATTCAACAGACAAAGAGATTCTCATAAAGAGGCCCACACAATCCAATACCGGAACCTTAAACTCTCTCTCTCTCTCTCTCTCTCTCTCTCTCTCTCTCTCTCTCTCTCTCTCTCTCTCTCTCTCTCTCTCTCTCTCTCTCTCTCTCTCTCTCTCTCTCTCTCTCTCTCTCTCTCTCTCACTTATTCTATACCGATTTTATTATTCCCCCCTTTTTTTCTTTTTTTTCATAAAATAAAAAAAACTATTTGCTAAATTTTCTTTTAATGTATATCAATGTCTTAATGTTTATCTTAATTTATTTAGTTTCATTTTCATAATTTTTGTACTTGGATTATTATTGAACTCTTAGAATTACAAGCATACAATATTTTGTTTATATATGAATGTTATCATTAATAACTACTGTTTCATTTCAAGGAGAGAGTTTCTAAAAAAGCTTCTAGCTTTCTACTCAATCCTTTTTGCATTTTATTGTAATATATTGTGTGTAAATATATATATATATATATTTGCTGAAATAAAATATTGTTTAAACCAACTTGTATATAGAAATTAGGCCAATAAATGGCGATTAAATCATGATTATGGTTATTTATATATATATAATAAGTTGCTAATAATATACGTCGACAAACAGCAATTTTACTGTAAAATTCTATTAAAACGATATAATTCAAATTCTAAAAGTCACTTTCGCTCACTTTCGCTCACTTTCGTCAAAAATCTCACTTTCGTAATTTAGGCAAACCCACTCGAGACTAGGCGGACCGTATTTTTGGACAGGGCGGACCGTCACTCGAGACGAGGCGGACCGTGATTTAAAAAAGTATTTATATGTGGACTAATGTAATTATTGATGTTTTTGTTCTTCGTATTGATATTTCAATTCAAATATTCAATTAAAAATATAAAATACAGTAAGTTTTAAAAATTCTTTGATGTGTCTTATTGTTTAATAAATTCTATTTCAGTGTTCATTTTATTTCATGTGTCTGTGCTTATTATGTAAATTTTAATAAGATAGTTTTGTTTTTCAAATATGTCACTTCATTTTTTTGTTATTGTGTTGAATTGCAAATAATTTTAATGTGATGTTATTCGTTATCATTGTTATTTCGTGTATTGTACAACAAAATATGTTTTTTTATGTGTCTAATTGTTTAATAAAGTTTATCAATTTTAGCAGCGTTAGCGCCTTATACAAACAATAACATTGTTATATCCCGATAATTGGTCAATTATCACTTGCGTAAGTCGACGCAGTTACAAATAATTTCTTGAGAATTTTTTTTTAAACTACTCTAATATACTGAAACAAAAAAGAAACTTTCTCCAAGTTTGAATGTAGATATGTAAGTACAGTTTTTCAATCCTTTTGAAACTCGATTTTTACGTTGAATAAACATTTCGGGCTTTTATACGGGGATTAGCTGACCGATTTTGCAAACAAAACGAGTTTTACGAGCTACTACATATATACAAGTGTGTACATTTATGTGGTACCCTTGACAACTGGCACATGATACTTTGCGAAAGTTTCCTTTTTTGGTTCAGTATATATATGTTTCATATGTTACATAGAAAGGTTTAGATTGAAATATTATAAAGAATACCAAAATCATCCACAATTAAATACTTTCGTCTCGAGTGACATCGTCCATTCAGCAAATTAATATTCAATTACACATGAACTTTTAAAATTTATTTTATATTTTTACTTTTATATATGCATTGAAATATTAAAACGAAGAACAAAAACATCAATAATTTAATACTTTTATTACATTAGTCCACATATAAATACTTTTTTAAATTACGGTCAGCCTCGTCTCGAGTGACGGTCCGCCCTGTCCCAATATATGGTCCGCCTAGTCTCACGGTCCGCCCTGTCCTGCAGGCGTCCCCAGCCCCCTAGACATAATATTTAAGCCAGATAACATCAATAATTAAAGGTCGTTTGTGCATTTTGGATCTGAAGCATAATCATATAAGGTCGTAACTGCAGTCTTACAGATACAATAAGGCCCTATCTGGCAGATACGTCCTTTTAATATTGAGGCAGTTTATTTCATGTTACTGTGAACATGGGGCGTAAATGGTAGATACGACCTTTTTATAGAACGTATATAGAAACTTAAAATATAAATAAACCTATAACATGCAGTACGCATATAATGAATTTTGGCCGGCAAAAAGTCTTGTCATCCTCGAAAACGGAAATTGGAGAGACACAGTGCAGTAAACAATATAAGTATATTTGATAGGCATGTATAAAAAAGATACACGCACATGTATGCAAACATACAGAAAAGGGATAGATTCTCGTGTCGTGACCATGCGCCGTTCAATACATAATTTTAATATCCGTGACTTGGGATACAGTATAGACAATCAGAATCACCTAATCACACCGTATTACCGGCGGCAGTGATGGCAGATCACTGCAGTGATGGCAGATATCTGAAAATTACCGATCGGTACAGGTAGGTTACAAGAAAAGCATTGATGCAAAGCATCAAAGGGCGTCCAAGCAAGAGATGCAGCAAGTGAAGATGAACTAGTAGACATATGATGACAAGATATTGTTATAATCTTTTCAATGGTTTTTACCAGAATTGTATATCACTTATGAATGAGCGGACGAAAGACATTGTTCATTATGAACTTTGATTGGCATGCTAGAGATTAGAATATTACTTGTTATTTCTTTATGACCGTGGTTATTAATAGCAACGGATTTTGTGTGTTTGCGTTTGTTTACCCTCGCCACTGGAAAGATACCATATGGGCGAGCAACGGATATACATGTAAACAATCATTTACAATCCATATGTGTAACGCATGATCAACACCACACTTGTGTAATTG